AATAGCTAAACACTTACAATTGACGTGTGTGCCTATTGCACGGTAGCAGCAAATAGATCTGCTATTTTTACCTGGGATATTTTTACCTGAACTAAGCAGTATTGCCACCATGTCAGAACAGACCATAGCGCTGTAACTGCTCAGCATGAGCCTCCAGGATGGCAGAGCAGTGGAAGGTCCCTTGTCGTGACTTTCTCTTAACTGCTTTCGTGTCAAGGGAGGAAGGATGCGGTAGCTGCGTGGTGCTCGGGGATGGGTGTAACGGCACCGGGGCAGGAAACTTCAGAGTGTGGTTGTAGAGAAATAAGAATTGCTTTGAATAAGACATTCACCGTGATTATTTGTTCAGCAGCTTCGAGGTGTGGTGAAGAATCATTCCCATGTAAATGGCTACAAATTCAGCTCGTTATTCATCGCTCTCTGCAGGCAGTTTGCAGCCAGTGTATGCTCTCTGAGTCTTTCTTACGTACCCCATCTAGCCATTCTTTTTTGCCTGGATGTTAGATAAGCATGTGTACCCCAAGCTGAGAACTTCTGCTCTGCTCTCTGAGTGTGCTTCTTACGTATACCGCATCCAGCCCTTCCTTTTTGCCTGGATGTTAGATAAGCTTGTGTACCCCAAGCTGAGAACTTCTGCTCCTGCTTGGTCTGTGAATGGCTTTGCCACGCCATGTTTATCGCTTCTGTCTTGTGCAGCCCTCCTGGGAGTATCAAAAGCTGATTCCTTTGGACATCCAGACATCTGTTGAAGCTGAATATGCTCTTCTAGGATAGGCACGCTGAATTTTCAATGCGTGGAAGGCCAACATTACCTACTCGGTACTGATGGAGTTTGCCTGGGGATACCTCAGAAACAGCCTTTCCTTTGTCCCCGGCGCCTGTGCTTGTGCAGCCTTGGGCTGACACGTCATCTCTTTAGGAGCAGCTCTGTCCATACGGGAAAAGCCTGGGAGCGGGAGATTCTCCCATAGGGCAGCATTCACAAGAGGGAAGAGTGCTTAGATTTCAGTCTTCTAGTGGTCTCTCCAGTTGTATGAGATATTGATATTTATATTCTTTACCTTCTTTTTCTATTAGTAAGTAGAAACAATTGTGATTTTTAAAAAAAAACAAGGAGAGGAAAAGCTCCAAGCTCGTACTTATTTTCAGAGTTCTACTTCATGAAAAGGGCAGAAAGTATTAGTTTAGTAAAGTATCTTTATTTACAGAACAACTTTACAAAAATAATTTCAATAAAATTATTACCAAGTGCATTTACAATATAATACAGCTGCCTTCTTTTTCTCAAAATGTAACATCAGATTATTATGGAGGATATTACTTTTATATGTTAGATCACCCCATGGCATAAATAAAGTTTCAAACAAGGAACTAGTTTTGTTATAGCCTACGAATTGCTACTGGTAATAAACAACGCGCTCCTGGGCTACAGGGTTCCTCTGTACAGTCTCTCTACACTATAGAAACGGGTGACGGGAGGCAGGAGCTGCTGTGCGGGGAGCTCGGCCCTGCACCCGCCGGGTTCATCCCAGCACAGATCCAAGGAGCCAAAACTCTGCTCTCAACTGGCCACAGTGGCACTCGCTTCTGTAAATCTGAAAGCACTAAGCTAGGGAGACAGCAGTTGTCTGACCTCAGGAACAGCTTTTCCAATGTCATTCCTTGATGTGGTTTTTCAGTGTTTTGCCAAAACAGCAGGCAGAGATCAAATCCCATCTCCACGGTACCTCCTTTGGTAAACTTACAATGCTAATCTTCCTTGGGAATTTGAGGCTCGGGCTCCTAAGGCTCTGTGTACTTATACATATTGGTATTCTTCTCGGAGTTAACTATGTTTTTTGGTTCAGAATCTACTTTGTCAGTTTTTAAGAAACATACTGAGCTCCTCCGTATGGCAAAACTTCCGTGACTCCCCACCCGATGATATTGCCCCTGATGCTGCAAGCATCTTCTCCACTCTGCACGGCTACTTCTTCATTGCTCAGGACTCGGTCCCACATATTAAAGCCAGTTAATTTCCCTGAGAAGGCCAATGCTTCATCAAATCCCCCTCCAACACAGCAACCGTTCTTTTCCTGGCCGAGCTGCAGAATTCCTCCGTCTGGGACCGTGTGAGCGTCGGCGATTTCGGAGGTGGTGGCCACGAGCTCCCCGTTTACCCACAGCGTTGCAGTTCCATTTCCTGAGCTCCAGGCGCCACAAAGATGGATCCACTTCCCAGCAAAAATCACGTTTTGGGCCGTCAGCCTGTGCTGGTTACTACCTACAGCAAGCACCGCAGATCCCCGGCTGAGATAAAGCTGAATTTCGTATGGATTCATCTTTGTTCCGTAGGAGAATACAATAGTTTTGTCCAAAACCTCAGTTGCTTTGAGCCAAATACAGGCCGTGAAGGAGCGGAGTGTCATGGCCGCAGTTGGGTGAACACTCCCAAATATCTTTTTGGAACGCATTGGGAATAAAATTGCTGTTTCGCACCCTGAAAAAGTTAGAGAGGAGAAAGATTATCTTATGTAAATGAAAAATCTTAGATATAAAAAATATATAAATCTCATATAAATGAAAAACTGCATATTTTCACATGCACAATGAGGACCTTGATTTACGCTCGCTTCCTTTCAAAGGGAGCTGTGAACTGAGCTCCTCTGCTGGGTGTTTTGTAGCATGTGAAGCTCTCCCAGCTGCCGGCTGACTTTGCTCACTGCTCTGCATGAGGCTGGGATCCTGCTGCTGCTGAAGGGTGTTGCTGGCTGGGACCATGAAAAGCTACAGCGAGGCTTGATGCTGCCTGTCTGCCTTGGTGGCCCCTCCTGCAGAGTGTGCAGAAGGCAGTGCCCTGGGCTCTGGAGACCTCGTTGAAGAGGTTCCTTCCTTTCCTGGTTGCCTAGGGAAATCAGCGCTCCCCTCTAGGTCGTTTTGTTGGGAAGTTGAAGGTAAGTGGAGTAATACCTCGCTGTTCCGTGCGTGTCTTTAGCCTCTGTGTTTTTGCAGTGTGGTGGTAGGAGAACAGCAGTATTGTGGTAAGGGGTTGGATTCAGTGGTCTATGAAGCTGGAGATTTTGGGCAGTCCAGTGCACCTGTGATAGCACGAGCTTGCAGATGAGGCTTGTGGAAGAGGGACACTGGGTAGTTACGTGATAGCTGCATAACACTTTGCTGTACTAGATACCTGAGCATCGTTCTAAGAGCGCCAGAGGGACCTGGGGCACATCCACCCGGTGCAGTGGAGTCTGGTGGAGCGAAGAAGTGCCCGGACTAGCAGGATTACCTAGGAGCTAGGTAAAGGGGGGAATGATGAAGCGGCTTCCCCAGCCTTCCTCTCCATAGCGGGGCAGCAGAGGCCGGGACGGGCCCTGAGTGCAGCGGGAGAGCACGGATATGCGCGTGGATCCGCATATGCACGTGGGTTGCCGAGAGGTATTTAGGTGCCTATGTTTAGACTCCCTTTTGAAAGTCAAGCCCTAATCTTTTGTGTCTTGCTGTTGGTCCATCCGCTATCTGGAACGCAGGATGTGACAAGAAAAGCGCTGTCAGCTCCGAGGAGCTGAAATGGCCCAGGCCACTCTTGGTGCTTGCGCGCTGGGAGCTGCATGTCAGGACCTGCTCTGGTCACATCGGTGGGGATCCCTAACCCTTGTGCAGGTTTATCCTAGGTTAACTAGCACCTAGCACGAAGCAAGCTGCATTGTCTGCAGTTGAGACTGCTCGAGAGCAGTTTCACACCCTGCCTAGTTCCCTGTCTTCTGTGAACATCTGCCCTGATGTTTTCTTGCAGCTGGTCCCAAGAGGCACCTCCAGCAGAGGAGGGTGGGACGGGGCCTGTTGGAAGGTGTGAGTGAGAAGTCAGGACAGTTGCTTTCCTTAGCAACTGATGGTCATTAACTTTCACATGCACTGGTTGAACGTGGAAATAAGATGAGTGATATTTTTAGAGCAGTTTGTCTGCCATCTTCAGTTAGTTAATATGCTGATAGTAGAAATTAGGTTAGTAAACCACTAGCAAAAATTCATGAAGCTTAGAAAAGTCATTGGGCATTTTGAAATGCCACTTACTGCTCTCTCATTGCTGTGTAAAACTGAATGTTGTAAGTGACATAGGGAAAAGGCAGCCCCCTGCTACAGTTAATCTGATTGATTTCCTGTTTAAGCAAGCTGCAGGATCAAAAATGTCTAGAAATATTTGCTTTCATGAATGAAGGGCTGTTTGTGTCCGTCAGGATTATGCTGATGCATTTTTTCACAGACTGCTTCCTTTGGACTTTGAGCAAAGTTTACACTCTATCATTCTCACTTTTGAGAGGGAGAGAGTGAGTGGGGGACAGTAAGTAACTGTAGGGGATACTCCTTAAAATGCTACTTAGAAACACTGTTGTGAAACAGCTTTTTAATTAGCAAGCTTTCTGGCCTTGTTATCAAGGACTAAATAAAATTAAAAACAGCCTCGCTGAAGAACAAATAGTGTGATTAGAAAATCCCTCTGGAGTACGTCTGGCAATAGTTCAAGATGTGAGAAATTAAAGGCAATTTATAACAGTTGCCTTGGAGAGAGAGAGAAAAAAAAAGTCTGGGGAGACCCTGGAAGTACTTAAAAATGAATCTTTAAGAAGAAAAAATAATACAGAAATATATATTCCTTATAGACTATAGAGTGACAGATGCTGATCTTTCTTCTGTAGTGTAAATTGGGACTAAATTCAGTAAAAGCAGAGGAATTAATCTGGATTTCCACTGATGAGACTGAGGTCAGAGCTGGTCAGGTTTGCTCTCACCTTGCACATACTGACTGGGAGGTGGAGGAGGAGAGAGTGCCTTTTGGAAGGCAAGATTGTTGTCTGTCAAAAGAACGTGCTGCATGGTCTACTCCCAGTACCCCAAAATGACCAAAATTTTATAGTAAACAAGGCAGTAAAAGCATTTTTTTTTTTCTTGCTTATAATGCTGAGGTCTTGCTCTACCACTGGATAGATTTTTGCCTTAGCTTGCAGAATGCTTTGACATTAACTGTTGCTGCGTTTGTGTTTTAACAGGCATTTGCAAGTCACTGCTTTTACTCTTTTCCGTGGTAAGAAGCGCCTTAAGGAGTCAGTCAGTGCTGCCCGGGTGGCTGACAAACCTGGTGTAACTGCTCACCCAACTGTGTCTCTGCACACACAGCTGCACGGCCTGTGAGTGTAGGGGTTTTCCCCTTCCTACTCTTCAGAAAATGTGCAGAGTTATCCAGTAGATAGAATTATATACAGCACAGTTATATTGTTCATGTAGCAATTTGCATCTATGCTTTTACACAGAGAGGGGTCCGTTCCGTCATCCCCAAGTTTCTGGGGGAAACGATATGTTGGGTATCGTATTACAGGGCATAGGAAAAATGAAATGAAACTTGAGATATGAGCTCATCCTTCTGCAGCCACCTCACTTGCTGACCAATAGAAACACTACAGAAGGGAAAAAAAATAGTCATGCAATGTAACAGTTTTTTCCTGCTTGGGGAAAGCTATTCCGTCCTGATCCTTGCATGCAATGGAAGTGTCCTCCTGGACACGGGAACATGATGAGCTGCTGCGGGCTGGCAGCAGCATCAGTCCTTGGATCTAGAGAGGAGGAGGCAGGAGCTAGTGTAGGAGGAAGCAGTTGCTACGTACGTGGAGAGACGAAGAGGCTTCAGTGACTAGAGAATGTGTGGAATGACCAGCCGCAAAGGTAAAAGGTGAGAGGATGTGTTTTGTAAGTTAGTCTGCGTAAAATATTTGCTGCTCTTTGGCAACAGTGTGAATGTGGGAGAGGTCCAGGAGGCACCTGGCTGGTGTACCCTGTGTCAGGACTTTGGTTAGACCCTTCTGGGACCCCACACTTGCAAAGCTCAGTGGTTCTCTTTAGAGAAAATTCAGCAGGTCTCCTGCTTGTGAATATACAGACTGCTCATAACTACCGTGTTGTTCGCGGGGTCCCTCTGGAGCGAGGTGCAAAGGAAGGCGCGTTCAGCCGGGCTGTTCCTAGTGCCTGTTGGGACAGGCCCAGAAGAGCTCTCGGGAGCACGTGAGGCGCTGCACTTACCTGCTGGCAGGAGGTGCTGAGCTGCCCACTTCTGGGATGCCTTCAGCTCAGCTCTGGTCTGCTGTAGCTCTTTCCACAGCGCGTTCAGGACGAAGTCATCTCCGCTGCCGTGACCGAGCTTGTCCTGCTGCTGGAGCGCCGTCTCCTGGAGCTCCTCCTCGGGGCCGTGGCGCCAGGCGCTCTCCAGCTGGCCCAGCCTGCTGGACACGTTGCGGCTCAGCTGCAGGATGTGCTCGAGGACCTTGCTCTGCTCGGCCTCGTGCAGCCTCCTGCCTTGCTGAACTTGCTCGTCGCTCCTCGCCAGCGCCTGCTCCGCCTGGGCCGCGGCGAGGGAGGTGGCCTTCTCCGCGGCCGCGGTGACCGCGCTGGCCACGCTGCCCGTGAGCCGGCGCAGCTCCGCCTGCAGCGCCTGCACTTCCACCTTGAGGATCTCGTCGATGGCCTGCAGCATCATGTTCTCCTTCATCTGCGAGTTCTCAAGCATGATGAAGAGCTTGTCCCACTCCGTGTGTTCTCGCTGGCAGTCGCACGAAGCCGCTGGAACGCAAGATACAGATATTTGCTATTTCTTTGTACTTACGTTTACAGACAGAAGAGTTATTTAGCAAAGTCTGCCTCTCTGCAGCACTTATGTGCTCCAGCTGCCAGTGTGTCTGTATTGAAACAGAGGTAAAGCAGCGTGCATGAGGTAAATTTAAAATGTAGTGCCATCCCCAGTATTTCCTGGGAAAACTGAAAAATAAAGAGTATAAAGGAAATTCCGAGGGACATTGTTCAAGTACTCCAACATTTGCTATCCATAATAATCTGCTTGTACAAGCGCATGCTTTTCCTTTTAAAAAACACAATGCTTGTAATAACTGTTATGAGAGCTAAGCAACAAAGAATGTAATTCCGCACTGGGGAAGAGAGAGCCAGTTTAAATCTACTTACTTTCCTCAGGACCAAGAACCGGACCTTCAATTTCATTATCCAGGTTCACATACATGAGATCATAGTCATCATCTCCGTGCAGAGCAGAAGCAGAAGCCCTGAAAACACAAAACAGCATAAGCAGGGAAAGCATGTCTTGAGGCAGCATTCTCCAGCTGTTTCCTAAAAGTATCGGAGCCGCCTGGAGCTAAAGGTCCCGAGCGGAGACAAGGCGCGGAGCGAGCGGCGGAGAGCCCCTAATAAATGCTCCGAGTGCCTCGGCTTGAATGAATGAGCGCAGCGAGTGCCAGGGTGTAATAGGAGCCCCGCGATGTTGTCCTTGGCGGGAGGCGGGGGGCGTGCAGCTTGCTCAATCGCACCCTGCAGCCCGCCGGG